AAATAAAAAAACAAAAGTAAACTAAGGAAAGGAAAGAAGGGAGAAGGTGTATGAGTAGGGTGACCAGACGTCCTGATTTTGGTGGGACAGTCCTGCTTTTCAACTGGGTGGTTTGTATTTCTGTGAGCTTCACAAACCCTGCTCTATTATTGCTCTACCCTTCATTTTTCCTCTGTCTAGTTGCCTTAATTATTTATTAGTTATCATTTATTTTATTCTTTTTATGCTGTTGCATTTTTCCAAACTGGTGTAACTGTTTGTGGAATATGGTAGGAAATAAATATATAAATAAATACAATGAATTTTTTCCAAATATTTGTGAGATGAATCTATCCATTGCCAGGAAAATAGCATTTCAATTACCAAATCTTGCTGTGTAGTCTCAGTTATGTAGCTAGTGACTCACTTTCTACATCCTCATTTCTCTTACAAAGTCATGTCTGTGTGAACTTGAAAAAGAAATGAAAGGGAGGCATCTATGGCTCAGTGGGTAGGGCACCAGCCCCTTATACCAAGGGTGGCAGGTTCAAACCTGGTCCCAGCCAAACTGCAACAAAAAAATAGCCAGGTGTTGTGTTGGGTGCCTACACTACTTGAGAGGCTGAGGCAAGAGAATCACCTAAGCCCAAGAGTTGTAGGTTGCTGTGAGCTGTGATGCCATAGCCCTCTACTGAGGGCAGCAAAGTGAAACTCTGTCTCTTAAAAAAAAGAAAGAAAGAAAGAAATGAAAATACCACCTAGGTCTTTCAGTTTCCTACTTAAAATGCCAGAGTCTCTGGAGACACATTCCAAAGCTTTACAAGCAATGTCTGCCCTAATTGGCCACAGAAGTGACAGGATTTCAAGCCAGGATATGTCCAGCAGGAGTCTAAGTACACAGGCAATAAGCTGGTTGGGCTGTAAAAGGGTGGGGAAACGGAAAGTCCTTGGTTATATGGGCAAAGAGTCAAGACGAAGAATCCAAGCTGAGAATGGGGTGATGGCAGGTCAGGAGCCATTGAAAAAAATGGCTGTTAGGGAAATAGATGCTAGGACAGCAAGCTAGCACTAGCATGGGTCAGTGGGCTTCCTGTGACCCAACCTTGTCTATTTTATTGCTTCTTTCATCATACCCCCTCCATCCTCCCCTAGCCATACTAATAAATTACTAAATGTTCTACAAATATACTAAACCGTTTCACACTCACATACCTTTTTTCATGCTGCTCCCTTCCCCTTTCCTCTGTCCACCTGACAAATATCTATTTTTGCCAGATTCTAGTTAAATGCCTTCACTATGAAGCCTTTCCTGCTCCCACACAGCCTCCATTCTTCTTTTTTGCCCTTCCCTATTCATGTACCTTTTGCCACATCTATCTTGACCTTCATACATTGATAAGCAATATGAACTTGCACCATAGCTCTCTGATGTGAGAAATGTCACAACACTATATATATATATATATATATATTTTTTTTTTTTTTTTTGAGACAGACTCTCACTATGTCACCCTCAGTAGAGTGCCGCGGCATCATAGCTCACAGCAGCCTCAAACTCCTGGGCTTAAGCAATTCTCTTGCCTCGGGTCTCAAGAAGCTAGGACTACAGGCACCCGCCACATCACCCAGCTAATTTGTTGTTGTTGTTGCTATTGTTGTTTAGCAGGCCCTGCCGGGCTCAAACTCGCCAGCCTCGGGCAGTGCCTGTGGCTCAGGGTGTAGGGCGCTGGCCCCATATACTGAGGGTGGGGGGTTCAAACCCACCCCAGCCAAACTGCAACAAAAAAATAGCTGGGTGTTGTGGCAGGCGTCTGTAGTCCCAGCTACTTGGGAGGCTAAGGCAAGAGAATTGTTTAAGCCCAAGAGTTGGAGGTTGCTGTGAACTGTGACGCCACGGGACTCTACCCACGGTGACATAGTGGGACTCTGTCTCAAAAAAAAAAAAAAAAAAAAAATAGGCTCGGCGCCTATAGCTCAACCGGCTAAGGCGCCAGCCACGTACACCTAAGGTGGCGGGTTCGAATCCCCAGCCCGGACCTGCCAAACAACAATGACGGCTGCAACCAAAAAATGGCCGGGCGTTGTGGCGGGTGCCTGTGGTCCCAGCTACTTGGGAGGCGGAGGCAGGAGACTCGCTGGAGCCCAGGAGTTGGAGGTTGCTGTGAGTGTGATGCCACGGCACTCTACCCAGGGGGACAGCTTGAGGCTCTGTCTCAAAAAAAAAAAAAAAAATAGAAGAGTAAAAAAAGCATCATCGTGGTCATCATCATCCAAATCTTGAGCTCCATCATAAAAGTTACTTACCCAGGGAGCAACTTCCTACTTATCCCTTCCTGGCTTAAAAAGGCCACATCCTCCCAGCAGGGGCAGATTCCTCCTATTCACACACACATCATGATTTCTATGTCATTTATTTCCAATTTGATGGGCTTGGTAAGCATCAGGCAGACTTTCCTTCACATTTGGGTCTGTTCTTCATGAAGACAGCACATCTTCATGAAGAACAAATACGAGCAAAATGTTAAGAAAGCATGAACTTTTGAAGGTACCTATGAAGCTCTTGGCTCAGTGCCTGGTGCCTGATCAGAACTCTATTAATGTTTGTGATTATGATTAATTTTCCATGCCCAAAACAACTGCTCCTCCCCAAAACCTTTGATGAGGATGCACCACAGCTCCAGAATTATCAGTCAAGTCCCACCAAAGAGGTCAGCATCACAGGGCGAATATACACCTCTTTTTCTTGGAGACATTAACAGTTTCCTACCCCTTGCTTGATGCCTACCAGATCTCCTCAGAGTCACTTGCTGCGGAGAATGATGATCCTGCTCTAAAGTGTTCAGAGCACCCACCCACCCCACTCTAACATATTCTCTCTGGAGCGTAACTCTAATGCTATAGCAGATATTTCCTGTCTCACTGTGTCACTTTCTACTTGTCTTCCACAGGACACTAATATTTCTCTTCCCTCTTAAGATCTTTTTTCCTTATTGCCTTTACTCATATTTTCTTTGAACTTTCCATATAAAGTAGAATGAGTAGAACCAGTGTGTTTTCTGTGTTTTCTTTCATGTTAAGTAGCAGGGAAATAGTAGAGAAACTGTTACACTTTGCACTAGATGTAACTGATGATCACCCCTACCAAGAGTACACATGTACAGTTCTATTAATTAATTAATTAATTTATTTTTGAGACAGAGTCTCACTATGTTGCCCTTGGTAGAGTACTGTGGCATCACAGCTCACAGCAACATCAAATTCCTGGGCTTAAGCTATTCTCTTGCCTCAGCCTCCCAAGTAGCTGGGACTACAGGTGCCTTCCACAATGCCCAGCTATTTTTTTGTTGCAGTTGTCATTGTCATTGTTGATTAGCAGGCTGGGGCCAGGCTTGAATCCGCCAGCCTCCGTGTGTCTGGCTGGTGCTATAACCACTGTGCTACAGCTGCCAAGCAGGTTCTAACAGTTCTGACTCCATACTTCTTAGAGTTCTGTGGTTTTCCTGGAAAAAAACCACCACAAAAAGTTGGCTCATTTCCATGACTCATTTAAAAAGGCTGCACCTACAAAATCTGCTTAGAAATCTGCTTGTCTCTTCTTGCCCAAGTGCTAACCTCTGTTGTCTCCATGGCACACAGCAAAGTGCTACCATCTGTTCCTCTGTGCTCTTCATCCACAGAGTCTTTACCCCCAGAATTCTGACCCCACTTTTTGTCCTGTGACTGGATGAATGGATCTCCAGACCCTTACCCCACCTGTCTTCTTGTCGTATCACAGCTTTCTCCCTGCTCTACAGGCTACTTCACCACCTTTTTAACCTTCTCTGGACAATCTGGGGATCTCCAGTCAGCCCATTCTAACTGCAGTCATTAGAAACACAACCAGACTTTATCACTCTTAAAATAAGACCTGAATTTCTACAACATCCATATGAGTCTCAATTCAAGACTCTTGTTTTTAAGAATTAAAATTCTTGGCTTGGCACCTGTAGCTCAAGCGGCAAAGGCGCCAGCCACATACACCAGAGCTGGCAGGTTCGAATCCAGCCCAGGCCTGCCAAACAGCAATAGCAACTATAACCAAAAAATAGCTAGGCATTGTGGTGGGCGTCTGTAGTCACAGCTACTTGGGAGGCTGAGGCAAGAGAATGCCTTAAGCCCAGGAGTTGAAGGTTGCTATGAGCTATGATGCCATGGCACTCTACCCAGGGTGACAGCTTGAGGCTCTGTCTCAAAAAAAAGACAGAGTGACAGAGTCTCACTTTGTCATTCTTAGTAGAGTGCCATGGCATCACAGCTCACAGTGCCCTCAAACTCTTGGGCTTAAGCCATTCTCTTGCCTCAGCCTCTCAAGTAGGTGGGACTACAGGTGCCCACCATGATGCCCAGCTATTTTTTCAGTTCTCATTGTTGGTTAGCTGGCCTGGGCCAGGTTTGAACCCACCAGCCTGGGTGTACATGGCTGGTGCCCTACCCACTAAGCTGGGGGTGCCACCCAAGAATTAAAATTCTTAAAGTCCACATTTACCATTGACTGTGGTAGCCTCCTCTGGGGTAAACACCTACATCAACTTAAAGGGCATTTCTTAACATAGCAACTGCCCTGTGAGTTGTATTTGACTTGTGCTAATTTTGAGCCCAGGCTTCCTAAAACATATGTAATTCACACTTCTCTTAACCTATCTTGACCTAATATTACACATGGCCCCAAGGAAAAAATTAATTTTCTACTGGCCCCAAGGAAAAAGAAATTTTTCTAGTGTGGCAGTTAATATGTTTACTTGTTTGTCCATCATTAACTCTTTGTGTACTCTCTAAAGCATATCCCCAACTAGGGAGGAAGAGTAGTACTTTGTGGTATCAGTGATTCAGGCAGGCAGTCCCTCCCTCCTAGGACCAAAGTGAAATGGCTCAGCCCTCCCCAACACACCCAAAAGAATGCAGGGAAGCCCCATTTGGGATTGATCCTCAAAATGTGCCAAAGACTGAAGATGAACCAGTATTTGTGCATGTCCTTGTTTCAGAAAAGAGAATGGTTGCTTTTGGCCAAAGGGGAGCCCCTGAGCCCAGGATACAGCCAGAGAACCTCTGCCAGCACCTTCTATGTGATCATGCCATCATGCTCCCTCACACTGCTGGTGAAGGCAGTGGCTACACGGGAACTGATACTGCCCAACCCTTTCCCGCTGCTATCTGAGGACCCACCTGATGACAGCCTCAAGATTGTGGAGGCAAGTGAAGCCCAGATGTCATAGGACAGATGGTGGAGAGAGAAGAGAATGGAATTTAAGAAAGGGGTGAAGAAGAGGAGTAAGCATGGGTGGGACAGCAGAGGAGGAGTATGATAAAAGAGTAAGAGAAGAAAGCAAGATGAGAACATGAGGCTGGAGGAAGGAAGTAAAAGCTTAGGTTAAGGCAGCAGGGTATGAATGAAGCAGAAAAGAGACTGGCTTGAGGGAAATGAGGTTTGAGAAGAGAAAATTAGAGGGAAAAATGACCCTCTCTCTACAAAATTAAAAAAAAAAAATAGCTGGGTATAGTGGCACTCAACTGTACTAGCTACTCCCAGCTACTTCTGGAGACTGGGGCAGAAGGATCCCTTGAACTCAGGCGATCAAGGTTACAGTGAGGGCTCGGCGCCTATAGCCCAACCGGCTAAGGCGCCAGCCACGTACACCTAAGGTGGCGGGTTCGAATCCCCAGCCCGGACCTGCCAAACAACAATGACGGCTGCAACCAAAATAGCTGGGCATTGTGGCGGGCGCCTGTGGTCCCAGCTACTTGGGAGGCGGAGGCAGGAGACTCGCTTGAGCCCAGGAGTTGGAGGTTGCTGTGAGCTGTAATGCCACGGCACTCTACCCAGGGGGACAGCTTGAGGCTCTGTCTCAAAAAAAAAAAAAAAAAAGGTTACAGTGAGATGATCTGTACCACTGCTCTCCAGCCTGGGCCACAGAGCAAGACCCTGTCTCTAAAATACCAAAAAATATAAAAAAAAAACCTTTTTTTTATATTTTGAGATTGAGAAACAGGGTCTCAATCTTGCTCAGGCTGGCCTCCAACTCCAGAGCTCAAGGGATCCACTCACCACAGCCTCCCAGAGTGCCAGAATTACAGACATAGACCACTATGTCTGGCCAAAACCAACATTTTTTTTTAAGAGGGAGGAGTGATGGGTATAAGTGAATGACTGGGAATTAGAGCCTTGTGGAACCATAAGACACACACAGGTACATCTGCCCCTGAAATCAGGTTACAGCTAGCTGCAAAGGAGAAAGAGAAAGTGACACAGATGGGAAGCTTGATGGCCCAGCAAGAGTGGGTGGAGACAGGGGAGGAAGCTGCAGTACAGGCACTTCCAGCTCCAGGTGACAAACTAATTCTCCTTTGGTTTGGTCTGGCTTTATCTTGCATTGGCTGGCTTTCCTGCCCCTACCTCCATCCCCACTTCTATCCTGGAGAGGACACTCTGAGTTTAGAAAAGCAGAGAAGGAACCAGGCCATGGCAGCTCATACCTGTAATCCTAGCACTCTGGGAGGGCCCCGGCAGGTGGATTGCTGGAGCTCAAGAATTCAAGAACAGCCTGAGCAAGAGCGAGACCCCGTCTCTAAAAATAGCCAGGCATTATGACAGGTGCCTATAGTCCCAGCTACTTCAGAGGCTGAGGCAAGAGGATCACTTGAGCTCAGGAGTTTGAGGTTACTGTGAGCCATGATGCCTCTCAAAAAAAAAAAAAAAAAAAGCCAGGTGCAGTGGTTCATGGCCTGTAATCCTAACACTCTGGGAGGCCAAAGCAAGTGGATTGCTTGAGCTCACAGATGGAGACCAGCCTGAGCCAGAGCAAGACTCCATCTCTAAAAATAGCTGGGTGTTGTGGCAGGAGCCTGTAGTCACAGTTATTTGGAAGGCTGAGGCAGGAGAATCACCTGAGCCCAAGAGTTTGAGGTTGCTGTGAGCTATGACAGCATAGCACTCTACTGAGGGTGACAAAGAGAGACTTCGTCTCAATAGAAAGAGAGAAAGAAAAAAGGAAGGAAGGAAGGAAGGAAAGAAAGAAAGAAAGAATAGAAAGGAAAGGAGAAGACACAGAGGAAGGCAGAAGAAAAAAAGAAGTAAGGAGGATGGAGTAAAGGGTGATGACAAAGAAATAGGAATCTTTGTATGGGTTTTGTGTTGTGTGTTTGTTTATTTTTGTGTCCCTGGGTATGTATGTGCTTGAGTCTCTAATTTGGTGGCACTGTGTGTAGATATGCCTGTGAACATCTGTGTGATATGTTTTTAATGGGCTTACTTCTCTGCATTATACGTGTGTGTGCATCTGTTTGTTGAGAAGTAGAAAAGGCAGGCAATGTACACTCCCAAAATAGGAAGAAGAAAAAAAGCAAACAGCTTTGAAAGCCATTTTCTTCTCCTCCTCCTCCAGCAGCTCTGAAGGCTGCCCCCTCCCCCATTATTTGGATCTGGATTCTCTATTTCCTCTGCTAGTCTATCCAGGCTGAGGGTGGGAGGGGTGGCTCTGCACAGGGAGAACTGGAACCACGTTGCTGCTGGCTCAGTGACTTAATGTGCAGAAAGGACAAGGCCTGGGATTGTACTCTGTCGGCTTGGCAGCTGCAGGGACACCCGCAGTGGAGGTGGGCACGAGTGGCCATGGCTCGCTCAGCGTCTCACTTTGAGGCCAGTGGTTCCTGGCACAGGATGTTGTGGCCAGGAAAACCTGACTGCTCAGGAATGCTGTGCTCCTGTCTCTCTTTACACTCAGCTCACCTCACCTCGCAGGCTGTGTACTCACCCTGAAAACTGTGAGTGCTGTCCACCCAGCCAGCGTGCAACCCTCAGACACCCTGAGCACTCACATTGGATTCCCTGTCGCATTCACAGTGCCTCAGCCCCTCTGGACACACCCCTCATCACGTGGGATTGCTCTCACTTCTCGCACCCTTGCCCGACACCTCCCAAGCACTGCGACCTTGGGCCAGAACACCCAGTGGGACAGCAACTATTTCACAACCTTCCTGTGAGCCCAAGGGTGTTATTCCCTTCTAGCCTCCAGAGTCTGCCTGGCATCCTTTGCTTAATGACCTCAAGTTTCCTGGGTGAGACCCCTCCTCTCTTTCCCTCAGAGCCTGCTGGACAGCCTGGAACTGGAACCCACCTACAACCCCTTGCAGGTTTGGAGCCACCTCTATTCACATCTGAGTAGCACCTTTGTCAAGCCTCAGCAGCGGCTCCACCCAAGCTGGGAGAGCAGAGCCCAAAGAAAGGTATAGCTCCCTCCTTCCTGCCCTTCCTTCTGCCCCTTCAGCTCAGAGTCTAAGAGAACCCTTCTGTCTTATCCCCAACACCACCCCAACAAAGGGGGAACCTTCCCACAGGGTGAGGGGAGAACCAAACTAAGAGGAAGAATCAGACAAAGGGAATCAGAACCCTTACGGGACAGGGAGGCTACTCTGCTTGAGTATTTACATAAGATAATGTTTAGGTGTTTTAATTGTCATGTTTATGATAACTCATTAGCCACTTAACAGACCAAACATAACAACAAACATCAATTGTCATGTTTACGAAACTCATTAGTCACTTAACAATGTCTAACTGAGCAAACTGGCTACACAAAACTGCAACCACAATTCAGTCCTTGAAAGAAAAAGCTGAAGGAAAGGTGGGAAAAGAAATGCCCAAGGGAAAGGAAATTATCATTACAGCACCAGTCGTCTGCCAGGTGATATGATAAGCACTTTCACTTGTATTTTTCTCATTTAATCCACACAGCATCCTTGCAATGTTAAGTATCATGCTAATTTTACAGATAAGGAAAGAGAGGCTAATCAAGTTGGTAGTTTGGAGACAGGGCTCCAGTGACAAAGGTGGAAAAGGGAAGAGTAATTGAGGATGGAGAAGTATTTTTATGAGATCCATATTCTATATTTGAGCTTCCTTTTTGCCCTTATTTTTTTCCTAGTTTCTCAGTAACAGAGCTTTTAGAAAAACTCTTATTTTCTCTTAGCTAAAATTACAGGAGAATGTTTCCAAAAATTCTTCCAAATAAGTCAATCTAGAAGAGGGAGCAGAGCCCACCAAAAGTTAGCTGATGGGCAAACAGACAGAGGAGGGACACTGGCAAGGAGACATGCTGTATAGAGGCTGAAGCCCAGGGGACTCCATGATCCCTACCCTGAGCCTTGAGGCTGTTGCCTGGATGAGACTATGAAGAAGTTAGGACAAGAAGCCCAACAGAGGCCAGGATTAGGAGCTCAAGAATTCTGGTCTTCAGAAAAACCTCTGGTTGCTCTCTCTGCAGGGTGGGCAGCTGCAGACCAATCGAGTTCGAGCCACAGTGACCCCCCTGCCTATGACTTCCGCCCCAGGAAGAGCCACAAAGATGCCAGCAGCCAGCAAAGCTTTCTCAGAAGACTTTTCCTGCCTTCCGAACAGGGGAAGTATCACTCAGGGCCCTAAGTCACCAGCACCAGAGCCCAGCTACACTGCTTAATCATATCTATGCTAAGACTCACACAGTGGCTATCTGTATTCAGACACTGTACTCAGAGTGCCTGGGAAACAGAGCCTTCCCCTACTCTGTTCTGAGTGTTGCCTGGGCCCCACTCCTCAGGCCAGAAGTGGCACACCTGTCCCTTTTCCAGCAGGGACCTCTTTTGGATTTTCTTTTGGATCATTAACAAAGATGAAGATTAAACACCCGGTAAGCCTCCATCATTGTTAAGAGCATTCCTGTGCCCAGAATTTCTTTGTTGTTGCTGTTGTCCCCATCCTAATCCTGAGACAGAATTTCTTCTAGTAGCTCTATGTAAGCAGGTGGACGAGGTCAGGTCACCCTTGGGAAAGTGGGCCTCAGAAACAAGCATGAAGTTTTCAGAGTTCATGAAAACCAAGTAGAATTGATCCAAGCCTCATGCCAGAGTTTGTGTCCTTGCCAAAACACCAGTCACACCACAGTTCCCTTTAGCCTCCAAACAGACAAGTGCTTGGTAATTGGTACCTATATGCAAATTGTGTGTGTAGGGGGATAGGGACTGTCACGGCTGAGAACGGGAAAATGATGGTGTGAAAAATACCTACTCCTTTCTTATTCCCCTCTCCCCACACATGCCCGCTTTCCTGTTTCTCCATTCACAAAATACTACTACCACTTTAAAAATGCTTACTCTGTGCTACAAATTACACTAAGTACCTGAGAAATGTTATCTCATTTCATATCTTATGTGAGGTGTAGGCCATTATTAGTTTTTCTATTTTAGGGCTGCAGATATTATAGAACTCATTAAGGGTCAAACAGCTAGCAACCACCCAGGCTCTGAACCACCACATGCTCAGCTCCCCTCCTTGGGTCCCTTTCCTCTTTCTGTGGCTCCCAAAACATCTCTTGTTCCCCTCCACTTCCACTCTGCCACTGTGTCCTCTCTTTGTCTATTCACACACATAGACCTCTTAAACCCAAGATGGCTTTAATAAGAAAAAATTTTAAAATATATCTCTGTCAAAGAACAATGCAAGAAGGATCTAAACAGTCCAGCATCTCCCTAGAGCTTCCAAATAGGCCCCTCAAACTGTGCCTTCTCTGACCAAGTACCCTTTTCCATAAACATGGTCTAGCAGCTTGTCCTTTTCTTTGGCAGGTAGGGAAGAAATGGGTTTGGGGTGCTGCCCTCCCTAGAACCAATCCCTTAGCCCTGCCATCTCTTCCACTTCCTAGGACTTCCTGGTATTGACTGTCCTTCCCTTGATTCCCCCATACCTCTGGTCACATGGGCCCCTCCCCCCCTCTGGTTCCCACTGGTTCTAACTGGTTTCTTTGATCCCAGAAGCCACCTCTGTGGTCCTCCTATCTGCAACCCTAGCCCTGCCTTACTTCTCAGGTGGAGCCCTCTGACTTGACCCCAGCCCTGTCTGTCCCTACTCTAGCAAGCCCACAATCCCAGTTTCCCGAGGCCCCACTCTTCTGGACCTGGCTGTATAGGATAGCGTCTGAGCTGTGCCCCTTACTGCCTCTGCCAGTTCCTATACCAAGTTCAGGGAAGGCCAGACCCTGGGGCTTGGGGGCTGGGAGGGGCTTCGTGCTCCGAGAGGGTGGCACGGCATAGTCGTCAGTGGCAGGATTGTAGGGGAGCTCATAGCCCTCCTCCTTCACCCGAGCCTGGCACCACCATGCATCCTTGGGTTCCTGAGGTAGATCATAAAGGTTCCGGGGAGGGGCTGCAGCCAGGCCCTCAGGTTCATCATAGATGGGGTCCTCTTTGGGGTCTGTCAGGTTGGCCTTCAGCAACTGCTGCTGCACATGCTCATACAAGTCCCAATAGAGAGGTTTCTTCAACTTTACCCCCTCCCCTGCTCGAGCAGGTGTGCTGTCCAAGGGGTCTGAGTATAGGGAGTCCTGGGTAGAGCCTGGAGCAATGCGCAGAGAGTCTAAGGGCTCGGCATACAGGGCTGGGGGGTTGCCCAGGAGCTCCTGGGGGCCAGGAGGGGAAGCCAACTTCCCTTCTGCCTCCTCCCCTTCATGGGCTTCAGCTCTGAGAACATCATGCCCCTGTCCTGCTTTCCCCTGGACCTTCTGCCAGTTGATGGCAGTCTCAACTGCCTGGAAGATGTCATTTCCCTGTGTTGTCTGGAAGGTGAAGGTTCCAGGGCCTGAGGGGCAGCGGCGGCCAGCCTCAAAAGAAAACATGACCTGAGGAGAGGGTGGAGAGAAACACATTAAACAGGAGCCAACACCGGAAGTGAGTCACAGGGCCTGAACTAATTAGGGTATCTATAAAGAAGAGACTGCCTGGGGATGGAAGTTGGGTGACAGGGATAGGTATGGAAGAAAGGGGAATCCAAAGGTCAGAGTTTGTCCCCAATGCTCTGCCCTAACCCAACCACAGCTACCCAACCCTGCAAGCCCTCCCTGACAGCCCCCGAACCTTATCCCGGCCATAGCGACGCAACAGAGTGTAGGGCCAGGACAGAAGTGGTTCCAGTATCTGACTCTGGGACCCCACAGTCAGGAGAGTCAGTCTCTCTGCCTCTACCCTCAGTACATAGGAGCCATGCAGGCCACAGCGCTCAGCGGCCTCCGTCCTCTGCACAGTCACCCAGAATTGGGATCCTGGAAGGAATACACAATTAGATGAACGACTGGGAAAGGTGGAGGGACCAGGAAGTCTCAGAAGCAGAGTGTCCAAGCACCACCTTGGAAGCCAGTTCTCAAGGGCTTTCTACTTGGTATCCACCCGCTTCCCAAGGGTACTCCTCCTTCCCATTCCATCACCTGCCCGGGCTTCTCAGGCATCTACCTTCCCAAGTGGGGCTGTACAGGGAGTTCTCCAGCATCTCCAGGGCAGAAAGCTTAGGTGGGTTTTCAGCAGGTGCTGGAGCCCAGTTGCCTTTCTGTAGTAAAAAAGAGAGCATTTGAGAACTCTATAACTCCCTTAACGTGTGTGTGTGGGGGGGGGAATCTGAGACAGCCCGGTTTCTCTGCCTTTGTGACCCCACCCACTGTGCCCCAAGCCCCTAGCCGGCAGCCCCTGCCCCTCACCGGAAAGGCGTTTCGGCACAGAGTCTGCACCCAGGCAATGCTGGATGGAGCGTCAGCCGCCAGCAGGTGTGAGCGCTGCGCAGTATCCAGGCGAAAGGCAGTGGCGCCGGGCTCAGGAGGGCTTTCCACCGCCACGGGGGCCACGCTCACACATTCGGCCAAACGAATCACCTTGCAGTCCAGGCGGCGCGAGCCCCCTCTACCACCTCCAGAACTTGACCCCTTATGGTCAAAGAACTCCAACCGCGCCACGCCGTGGGGACTGGCCGGGTAGAGTACAGCCCACGTCTTCCTCCACTTCTGGGGAAAGAGAGACACTGGAGAGGGAGCGGGCATGCACTGGCGGCCCGAGCCCCGACGGGGAAGAAGTGGCGCAGGCCGATTTCATATCTGGGGTTTTCCGACGGGGAGGGAAGTTTGCCATGGATGATGCTTCTCTGTCTCCCCAGGACCAGGGAGGGCACACCCCGAGACTGCAGGCGCTTCTCGGGAGTAAGCAAAGCAACTTCACGGAAACATCAAGGGGCTCTCCAACTCCCAGCGCCTCGCTCCGACCTGCTACCGGACCCCTTCCTATTTCTGGGCTCTTTCACCTACTACTAGCCCAAATGGGGTTCAGCATTCCCTGCCCCCCCCCCCCACTACCTTGGTCCCGAAGCGCTGACTCTGCAAAAAGAGCGGCCCTTCCATCACAGCTCCGTCCATGGCCCCCGGAGGTTCCTTCCGCGCTTCCTGGCCCGGAGGGCGAGAGGCGGGGCTAAGGGCGGGGCCTAGCACGCCCGAGGCATTTCTGCCCCGCCCCCTAGCGCCTGCTGGCCGCGACCCGGTGAGGTAGGGCGAGGGAGAGCAGCAGGAAAGGATAAAGGTCACCAGATAAACTGGGAGGTGCACCACCTCCAGACCCCTATCCACAAGCCTGGGAGCGCACAAGTTGCACCACAGGGAGGTTTTCAGTTTCAGCCAGAGGGTCCTGGGGCATGGGCGTGGGGACTGCGTGTGATGTCATATGCCCAAAGTGACATCAGAGCGAAAGGCCTTGACACCGCCCCGAACCTACCAGCACAGCACATGGGGGCAACGGAGAGGGCAAGTAGGCCTTCAGGGCTTCAGTTCCCCAGGCTCCACCCGCCCCCAACCCCGCCCGAGTTGGGCTGTTTACTCTTGGCCAAGGAGGAGGCGAGAAGGGAAGGGCTGGGGGCTGGAAGTCTTCCCGCCGCCACAGGGGCCGCCGCCCGGTGGCCGCTTGCATTTCAGCTCCCTGACCGCAGCTGCCCGGCCCTCCAACTCGCGGGAAAAGAAAGCTTCATTGAGCAGACCAGGATGGTCGGGGGAGGGGGACAGACGCGGCGGCGGCCAGCTCCACGGGGGAGGGGAAGACCAAGAAGAGAGGAGGGAACTGACTGGGGAGGAATGGAGGGAGAAGGCGGAATGTGGGAGGGCTCAAGGGAACGTGGGAGGGACGAACAGAGAGGGGAGAGAGAAGAGGGGGGTCCGGTCTCCCCTAGCCGACGACTTTTTTTTGGAAGTCCTAGACTGGTCTTCAGCACCAGGACTCTTCTCCCACCCCTTAGGGTCCTGCTCAGCCAAAGGTAGGGGAGTTGGGATGGAGAGGGACCAAGGAAATGGGGTGGTGTGGGATGGAGTCAAAAGGAGGGGAAGCCAATCAACCGAGAGTTTGATTATTGTCAGAGGGGAGTGAGACACAGCAGAGTGGAGAGAGGAGGCAGATACTGGCGGTGGGAGCTGGAGCGGGTTGTTCTAAAAAGGAGGGCAGGAGAACCTGAAGGCTGGGGGCCCCTACTCTTGGGCCCCCCAAGCCAAAATGTCCCCAGAACAAAGCTGTCTTGTTGGGTTGTTTGTCGGGATTCAGGGAAGCATGTTCAGAGGGCCCCTCGCTGTGAAGGGGCTGTTCTCGGCCCCAGACATAGCAGGACTTGGCTGAGGAACCCATAGAGCCCTGGCCTCCGGTTGCCGGGTGACAGAGACGGTAGAGTTGGCAGGAGGCTCAAGACAACTCAACTCCACCCCAGCCCAGCTTGAAGCCTGGCCTGCCTGGGCCCCTTGACCCTGCAGGGCATCTGAAAGCCTGTGTGCCAGGGAGAGTGTGCAGCAGCGTATTCTCTGTGAATTGTTTCGTGTCCCCCTCCCTGCCTGGGAATAGGACTCTGGCCTTGACTCCATTCAGGGGATCTAAGATCCAAGGGTCTCCTAGGGGCCCCTTTCCTGCCTCTCTCCACAGTTCCATTGTCTGTCTTCTGTCAGGCTAAATGGGGTCATCCGGGTCCCTCCCACATCTGTTCCTTGGCTCTTGTCAATCCCTCTCCTCCTCACCTTTCGCTTCTCTCTCTCCCTCCTTCTCCACTACTGTATGCTTCCTTCTTTCCCTATCACCTTCTGTCTTCAACTTTGTCTCTTGGTTTTCTCTCTTCTGTTCCCACAATCCTGGTTCCTCTCATATCCTGTCTGTCTGGGTTCTCCTCTCTGAGTGTCTCCTACTCAGTCTCTATCTCTGTATCTTGACCATTCTGACTCTTGATCTCTAATCCCTGTCTTATTTCTGGGTCTCTGGTGAGTGAGGGTAATGGAGATGATGAAGGCAGAACTAAGGAAGGACATTGTGGGGCAGAACAACTAATTGTGAGGGTTTTATAATTTACAAAAGGGAAGGAGAGAATAGCCATCTCCTCCCACCCCCATCTGGGTCCCTCAGGCTGCACTTCTTTAACTCTGTGTCTCTGCCTTTATGTAGTGTGTGTTTCTCATCATCTCTCTTGGTCCCTGAAATGCTCTCTTTCCCCCATACGGTCTCGCTCTGTCTCTGGTCTTCCTCAGTGTCTGTTTTCCTTTCCTGACTTCTCTCTCTCTCTCTCTCTGGGCCTTGCTCAATCTCAGTTTCTCTCACACATACTTTCTTTCTGGGGCACCCAGGCCTTCCCTGCCATGCAACCTGTCAGTGTCTGGCAGTGCAGCCGATGGGGGCTGCAGCTGTGCCTGCTATGCAGCTTGTGCTTGGGGTCTCCATCCCCTTCCACGGGCCCTGAGAAGAGGGCTGGAAGCCAGGGGTTGCGGTTCCGGCTGGCTGGCTTTCCCAGGAAGCCCTACGAGGGCCGTGTGGAGATACAGAGAGCTGGTGAATGGGGCACCATCTGCGATGATGACTTCACACTGCAGGCTGCCCACGTGCTCTGTCGGGAGCTGGGCTTCACAGAGGCCACAGGCTGGACCCACAGTGCCAAATACGGCCCTGGAACAGGTGAGCAGTGATCCAGGCGTAGCCTAGGTATTACCCAAGGATAGCCTAAGTGCAGGAAGAAGGAATGCCAGGATAGCACAGCCACAGGGACACAGGACTCCAAGAACAGCCAATACCAAGTAACTCATGGATGACCCACCAACATAGCTGCATGACCTTAGGCTAGTCAGCGTTTTCTCTGAACCTCAGTTACCCTGTGTGCAACATGGCTAGCTGATCTCTAAGTTCCTATCTACTACAAAAGTATCTACAAAGACATGAATAAGGACAGCCCAGATACAGATGAGCCCTGTGTGATTTAATTACCTGTATAGTTGGTTTTGTGGGAAGCTGAGAGTTGGTAAATGTCTGGATGTTTCAAAACCAGAAGGGATCACAGATACTGAAGCTGATGAAATCAGATTACAGGCCAGAGCTAAAACTAACAAGCTAGAACTGACTAAGAACAAAACTAAAGCTGACAAGTACAACTGGGTGGTAAGGGCTTAAGATCAAATTTTACTTGAGGCCTAAGGATGCTCAGACAGTATGAGCCAACAGTGGGATTGATGGACAGAAGCAGGTGCAACCTGCATTTGATCACCCAATTTCCACTGGTTAGACAACCTCTGGAACAAAGTGTCATTTGTAGGTGCTACATTTTAAGAGAGACAGTAGAAAATGGAAATACTTTAAGAGGAGAGCTGCCCAAATGTGAAAGATTCAGAAGCCATGTTTCTAGAAGGAATAAAGAAGCAGGAGTTTGGTTAAGAAACAGAAAGCCTCGGATAGCAATTACTTTAATGGTTGTCTTCAAATATGGGAAAGTCAGTTATGTGGCTGAGGGGTTTTTCTTGATGGCATCAAAGGACTGAATCAGATTTGCTGGGAGAAAGTCAAGAGTAACAAGGACTTTCTGATGGTTAAAGAAGTCTGGTGAGTCAGGATGTAGGTGTCCCAGCAGAAGTTAGGTAAGTCCTTTCAGGATATGAATGAGGGATCCCTGGGCAGTGGCTAGGACAGATAAACTTTGAGGATCTACCCAATCCTGAGAGAAAATCAGTGATACTCATGAGAGTCTAGACAGGAACAAGGAGCTATGTGGCAGCACAGATAGAGCAAGCATGTGGGAGAATGCAAGGGTGAGGTGAAGGGATCTTAGATTTCCAAGTCTCAGAAGAGATCATATTCCTAAGTCCCCATGTACTGGCTCTGTGGCCTTAGGTAAGTTATTTAACATCTCCGAACCCTAGTTTCTTCACATAAAACAGTCTTTAGCAGTTCTAATTATGATTATGTATATTAACACTAAGGCAGACCACCTGGCACACAGTAGGTACTTAACTAGTTGTAGCTATCATTGAATGGATGAGAACCCATCAGAATGTCATTGTTGATTCTTAGTTCGCATTTGCCGTATCAACATCTTGAGTATTCCCAGATCACCACCAACTTTCCATCAATCGTATGCCCTCTTTCCTATTACCCTCTAGGATCCTGCCTCTTCACCAGGAAATCCCCATCACAGCAGAAAAGTGGGATTATTGTGGACAAGTGTGAGGCTCTCATGCTTTCACTTCCCATCCTCCCCATCTCCCTCATCCTACCGCCCTAAGCTTCTCTGTCATCTCATCTCCCCTTCCACAGGCCGCATCTGGCTGGACAACTTAAGCTGCACTGGGGCTGAGAAGAGTGTGACGGAATGTGCCTCCCGGGGCTGGGGGAACAGTGACTGTACCCATGATGAGGATGCTGGGGTCATCTGCAAGGACCAGCGCCTCCCAGGCTTCACAGACTCCAATGTCATCGAGGTCTGTAGTTCACAGACATATACACACCACCCAGGATGACCAAATAGAGAGGACTTTGGGGTGTTTAGAGCAAATATTAGAAGATAGAGGATCCTATATGCCCCTGTGGGATAGTTTGGATTGGCGAGAGGCGTGGAAGAGCAAACGATGGAGTTCATAGGTGCTGTAAAATTTGGGCGATGGGGAGAGCAGGTAACATTAGCATTCATAAGGAACAAACTCTCCAGCTTCTGGCCTTCTTGTGCAGAGGGCGTCCTTCGCTTTCCCTCCGCTCAGTTGTTACTGCCATCCTGGTACATCTCCTTTCTTACTTTCTCCTCCTCCAAAGCCACGTCCTCTGTGAAGTCCTCCCTCTTGCTTCAGGCAGAGTTAGTCGGGTGCTTCCTCCTCCCTCACCTCTCCATCATTTCTCAGAGCACAGCATATCCCTCCACACTCGTGGTTGCAGGAGAGCCCGCGCCCCCAGACTGAAGGCAGGCATGGCGTTCTCCTCAGCCCTGTCTCTCAGCCCCATCCCGCCGCTGAGTTTACAGGACAGGAGAAAAGTTGCCACTCTTTCCTCTGCTTGTGGTTCCGCCCTCAGGTAGAGCATAACCTGCAAGTGGAGGAGGTGCGACTGCGACCAGCAGTCGGGTGGGGCAGGCGGCCCCTGCCAGTAACCGAGGGACTGGTTGAGGTCAGGCTTCCTGATGGCTGGTCCCAAGTGTGTGACAAAGGCTGGAGCGCCCACAACAGCCACGTGGTCTGCGGGATGCTCGGCTTTCCCAGTGAAAAGAGGGTCAACGCGGCCTTCTACAGGTGAGAGGCGTGGGCGCTGGCTGCAGGAACCCTGGTTGGGTGCTCGAGTAATAATGTTGCGAGGCCTTAAGGGTCGGGGCACTGGGAGAACCCCAGGGATCTGGAACAGTGGACAAATACGGAGGCCTAAGCCGAAGAGTGGGGAAATCTTGTGGGGCCACGAAAGACTTCACGAGGGTAGTCTGCAGTGCAGAACAGTGGGGCCTCGCTCTCTTGCGGCCCAGCCGGCACGGGGGTGGGGGCGAGGGCGCTGCGGGCAGGCGGGTGGATCTCCGGCTTCAGTCGCTAGCCGCCTCCCAAGGTCCCGCCCAGGCCCGCGGGCGCCGGCGCAGCCAGCCCGCGGGTTCCAGGTTCGGCCTGGCCGCGGCCGGCCTCGGGAGGCGGCGCCTGGCTGTGTCCAGCGCAGAGCTGGGAGCCCCGCGGTCTGGGGACCAGAACGGCTAGCCAGGCGGCGTGTCTCTGCCATGGGACGGATCCAGGCCCGGCAGGAGTGCCGTGGCAGAGACCTGGCCCCGCCCTGGGCCGGGTTAGTCCGAGGGCGAGTCTGTGAGCCCTCCGGGCGCCAGGGGAAATTGTCCAGAATGCCCTTTGGCGAGGCGCCCACCCTCTACACCTGCCCTAGAGCTCTGCTGTACACGCTGGCTTCCAGGATCACGAATCGCCTCAGGGAAAGGTTCTGGGCTTACAGCATCTTCCCTCCCTGGAGCATCTAATTTGGTCATTTTGAAAACAACCATTGGGAGCCTGGCAAATATTTGGAAGTCTTTACACTGTCCTTCTATAATCTTCTATTTTGGGAGCCAGAAATGCTTTTTCTTCAGTTCTTCCTTAGATCAGTTTTGCTGAAAAGCCTCTTGACGTCTAGATGGCACACCTTCGAGTTTTCCTTTCCGGCATCCCACTGCTTATATTGAACTTTAATCACCTAAAACCAATTCAAGGCTTCCTTAGCCTTAAGCAGCCTTTTTGAACCTAAATACATGTTGAGTTTACCTCATCATTTAAAACCCATGATGATCCCATGAAATAATCTTGAGTCCTGATGTGATTTTCAGTCATCCCACACAGCCTTTGGTCACAGACATGATAGCTGTACCTCTGACTTTCATCAAAATGACTGCAAAACCCAAAAGTTTCAAAACCAAAGTTTCACTCTAGTAAAGCTTCCCCCCAGGCGGAGCACCAAGGATCAAGCCTGTAATCCTAGCACTCTGGGAGGGGGAGGGGGGAGGATTGTTTGAGCTCAGGAGTTCCAGACCAACCTGAGCAAGGAGACCTGGTTTCTACTAAAAATAGAAAAAATAGCTGGGCGATGTGGTGGGCACCTGTTGTCCCAGCTACTCAGGAGGCTAAGGCAGGAGGATCCCTTGAGCCCAAGAGTTTGAGAGGTTGCTGTGAGCTATGATGGTGCCACTGCACTCCACTTGGGGTGAAAGAGTAATTTTCTGTCCAAAAACAAACAAAATTTTTTTCTTTAGATTTACATCAAACCTCTAATCATCGCTTGAAAAATTTGTTTTTTCAACTAATTGGGAAGAAACAGAATACAACAGTGGTATAACCAACATTTCACCTTGTATATACATATATTTCTTATCTATAATGACATCACAGGAGATTTTGTTTTTCTTTGCTAAAATCCAGATACACTGTGTTCACAGCCATGCTCCACCTTTCCAACTAAATAATCCTTTCCAAAAAGGAAATAATACTTATTTGGGCCTATTTTTACTGAAATCCTTTTAAATTTCTAAGGATCACCCTGGTTTTTCCTAAATGCTTGCAAACTTCCTGTTTAATAACTTCTCCCAGAATGTTACTTATGTTTCGATTGAGAAATTAAGGAATATTTTCTTGCTTTTCTTTCTTTCTCTCTTTTTGAAAATCAATACATTATGTAGTCTTCAGTCTTTTCCATACTTGCTCAAATTTTTTTCCTTGACTCTGAGACTTAACTGAAAGTTCTTCCAGCCCCAAGGAATACACTTTATCTGGTCTTAAAACAGCTGTGTGTCATGCTCTGTTACTATCTTCCATCTTGGGGCTGTACTTGCTTTTTACCTTTCCTAATCCAAATACCAGGTTCTGAAAGATTCGGAGGATTTAAATAGTGGTCATTTCAAGTGAGGAGTATAGCATGTACAGAAGTGTAGCAATTCATTTGGCCAATATTTATTTATTAAAACCTTCCTTGTGCTAGGTACTGTTGGAGACATTAGGGCTTCAACAGAGAAAAAAATGGACAAATGATCTCATGGACTAAAATGAAAAGATGATGAAGAGTGCAATAGGTTAAAAAAAAGCTGGGAAAGTGTTAAGACATGGGAGTAGAATTGCAGTTTTAAATAGAGTGGTCAGGGAAGGCCTCTCTGAGAATTGAAAGGAGGTGAGGGCACAAACTATGCAGACATCTAGATAAACATTTCCAGGAAGAGGGATCATAAATGAAAATATTCTAGGGAGTGTGTGTGTGTGTGCGTGTGTGTGTGTGTGTGTGTGTGTGTGTGGTGGGGGAGGGGAGAAGACATTCTTGTCATTCTCCAGAAGGCCACTGTGGCTGATACTGAATGAACACAGGAGAAAATGGTAGGAGATGATAGGAAAAGAACAAGAGGCCAGGGCAGTGCCTGTGCCTCAGTGAGTAGGGCACCAGCCCCATATACGGAGCAGGGGCAGGATCAAACCCAGCCCTGGCCAAACTGCAGCAACAACAACAAAAAAAGAATGAGGGGCCAGATTCTGTTGGGTCATTTGAGAGACTTTGACTTTTACCCTGTGTGAGATAAAACATTTTGAGCAGAAGCATGACATTAGGCCTTCATCCATATATTTATATTTATGCAAGCACAAAACAAAGGGGTTTTTTTTTGTTTGCTTGTTTGTTTGAGACAGAGCCTCAAGCTGTCCCCCTGGGTAGAGTGCTGTGAAATCACAGCTCACAGCAACCTCCAACTCCTGGGCTCAAGCGAGTCTCCTACCTCAGCTTCCCAAGTAGCTGGGACCACAGGTGCCCGCCACAATGCCTGGCTATCTTTTGGTTGCAGCCATCATTGTTTGGCGGGCCCAGGCTAGATTCGAACCTGCCACCTTAGGTGTATGTGGCTGGCGCCTTAGCCACTTGAGCCACAGGCGCTGAGCCAAAACAAAGTTTATTGAGGAACAGAAGGATAGGTTTACAAAAGCAAAAGGAAGATTAAGGCTTACAGAGCAAGATGCATTTGCCTTAGATGATAAATGGGCCTCCTTTTTCACAAGGAAGGAAAAGGCTCTAGTAATGGTCTGGGGTTCTATCTGAGTGGGAACCTCCTCATGGTTCAGTGGTTGTCATGGACAGTAAACTACATGATAGTCGGCTCTAAGTCAAATCCTACTGTGCCTGGGCTGCCTGGCCCTGGGTCATTTTTCCTTCTCCCAGGTGTGGCAGTTAAATGCCAGACCTACATTTTTAAGTTATTTCTTTCACTACTTTATTAAGAATAAACTGTAGGGAATACAGCAGAAGGAAGAGGGTTAGGTAGGTTACTGTATCCTAAAAGCCAAGTAAAGAATGTGAAAAGGGGAGATGACCAGTAAAAGTGGTGAAAAATGATCAAGTTTTGTATACTGTTAAAGGTAGAGCCCATAGGATTTGCTAGCAGATTCATTGTGGTGTTAGAAAGAGAAGTTTAGATCATCCCAACATTTCTGGTCTCAGCAAAGTATGAATTGGCTTCATCTGACAAAGAACATAGTGGGTGGAGTATGTTTTGTGTGGAGATGGGGATGGGGTAGAGAGTAAGAACTTGGTTATGGACCTGTTAAATTTGATGTTCTTTCAGACAATGAAATGACAAAGCTAAGTTAGACAAATTGGATATAGGAATCTAGAGTTCAGTTGAATTAGGTATATAGTCTTGAAACACTTTACATTCATCAAGGAAGTGAATGTAAATTTTAAAGAGTGGGGCACAAGGACTGAAGCTTGGGGGGCTTAAATATTAAGAGGTCAGGAAGAAAGGGTGAAATGCACACAGTGAGGTGAGTGGAAAGAAAACCAGGATAGTGTGGTGGCCTGGAAACTAAGTATAGGGCTCCAAAGACGAAAGAGTGATCAACTGAGTTGGTACTACCCATAGATCTAAAAACATGAGGACTGGGGTTTAGCAACATGGAGTCGTCACTGATCCTGACAGAGCTGATAGTGAACAAGATCTATCTGGAAAACAGTAAGTTAGCAAGAGCAGGTCTATACAGAGAAAGAGTGGAAGAAAGATCTGAGCAGATATAGTGAGGTCATTAAAGTAGAATATTTAAAATGCTGAATTAGAGAATTTGATCTGTGTCTTATAGAAAAATTAAAAATAAAGGTATTTTTATGAAGAAGTGATGAAATAAAGCCAGTGTTTTTAAAAGTTTGCCTATGGGCATGATGGCATATGCCTATAATCCCAGCTACTTGGGAGGCTGAGACAAGAGGGTTGCTCAAGTAAAGAGTCTGAGGTTGCTGTAAGCTATGCTGCCATGGCACTGTACCCAGGGCAACAGAGTGAGACTCTGTCTCAAAAATAAATAGGCAGTGCCCATAGGTCAGTGATTACCAGTGATTAGGGCACTGGTCATATACACCAAGGCTGGTGGGTTCGAACCCTGCCAGGACCAGCTAAAAACAATGACAGCTGGAACAAAAAATAGCCAAGCATTGTAGTGGGTGCCTGTAGTCCCAGCTACTTGGGAGGCTGAGGCAAGAGAATTGCTTAAGCCCAAGAGTTTGAGGTTTCTGTGAGCTGTGATGCCATGGCACTCTACCCAAGGCAATAGCTTGAGACTCTGTCTCAAAAAAAAAATAAATAATAAATACATAAATAATAGAAAAGAAAAGGTTTGCCTGAAAGTAGTAAATGGGGAGAGGAGGGTCTAAATGCAATAAAACTAGTTAGGAGTTTATCATAGAAATGAAACTTATTAGGAAGGTGACAATATATATGGAGGACAATAAATAGATTTTGGATGATTAATAGGAT